TTTTTTTATAGTTTCTAACTATATCCACTATTTACAATATTTATTTCTCTTTTATATTGCTCAATATGTTCACAGATGATATTACTAATTTCGTTGGTTCTAATAGTTAACATGAGTATTTTTTAATTATTTTTTAGAAAAAAAAATACCTATAATAAAGTATAAGGTAAAAAAAAGGACTAACCAGTTATTTCTTTCATCACCCCAAATAGGCCAATATTAGTGCTAATGGTATGCAAATGTAACTTGTTGTTTAAAGAACTATTCAGAATTCCTAGAGCTCCTTGTAAAGCTTGTGGGAAAACCTATTGTTGGACTTAATTAATCACTCTTTGTTGTTTAAAATGAATGGTTTCATTTTTGTAATTTTCTAATTATTCCAAAATCTTATAAGTTGAATTAATCAAATTCAATTTATTTTGTTTTATCTCAGAATATCAATTCACTCAAAACTAATCCGCCTCTATTCCCACTTTCCGTAAGCAGGCCCGATATTTTTCTAGCTGTTCAATTATCTAATAAATCATTTAATGAAAGTGGATTATCTTTTACATTAATTTTTTTTATTTCCAAAATTCCATGATCCTTTTTCGAACCAAACATGAATATTTTGACTAATTTGGCTCTCACACTCAATTATTTCTCATTTATTGGGAATTAATTCCCATATCTTCTTTTTTTTTTTAATGTAATGAGCTTAACATCTCCCTCTCTTCTCTATTCATATTCTAAAATATTGAAACTAATCATTGATCCAAAACCAAAATATTTAGAGGATTCTTCTTACCAAAATAAAAATATATAAAAAAAACTAAACTAAAAAAATCTTATCATATATCCATTGTGATCTTGAAATTATATGATAATGGTAACAACTTTAGTTGCCATCTCTATATCTGGTTTACTTGTAAGTTTTACTAGGTATGCTTTATATACTGCCTTTGGGCAACCCTCTCAACAATTAAAAGATATATTCAATGAACATGGGGACTAATTGAAGTAATAAGCCTCCCAATGCCTAAAAGTAAACCAACCCCTTGGACTGCTATGAAAAAAACCATTGGATTTTAAAGTAGCTTGATCTAATTCAAAATTTTCACCTAATTAAGCATGTCCAACATATTTTTTCATAGTAGTAGGATCACTATAACCACTCTATTGAGTTTGCCACCATAAAACTCAACAGTTACACCTACTTGTTTAACACTATACTTCGATTCTGCCCTTCTAAAAGGAACATTCGCTCTAATAATTCTATTTTTGTCTACCAAAATAATAGAAAATGTTTTTAAAAAAGTCGGCATACAATGTGCAAAAAGTTCACGTCCTTCTTTATCTCTAAAGATAAGGTGTCTTAACCACTTAATGACTATTTCATCCGTATTGTTCATTGAACCCGTTCTGACTAATCCTCATTTTGCCAAATTGTTGCCAATGTAATCATAAAAAGTTAATTTTTCAAGAATTTTAGACCAAACTACTAATAAACTTTGATTTTTGGCTATCTAGCATTAACCCTTCAATATATTTCTTGCTGAAAGTATCATTGATCCCATTGATAACGAGTAGGACCAAATAATTCAATGGGAAAAAAGTTGAAGGCAAGAAGCAAATAATTAAGGCAAATCTAGCTTTAAGACAGTTATTTTATTTTTATCATAGAACAATTATTTAATTATTTTTCCTCTTTTAATCATAATTTAATCAAATTTCTCTAATTTTACTAATCTATCTTAATCCATACGATAAATTTTTTTATTTTTCATCTTCAATGAAATCTTAATAATTCTTTTTCCTTTTTATATTTTATTCTTATACTAATAAATTTGGATGAAATCAAATAGGATTCAAATATTTCATTTTTTTCTTGATTCAACTACAAGGGATTAGGTTTTTCGTGACCTTTTTTTTTCATGTTTAGCAGCATTTATAAAAGTCACTAAAATGTTAGTGACGTTTGCCAAAAACGTCACTAAGAGTGTCGGTTATACTTGCGTCGAAAAAATAACGACATTTTTATCATAAAACGTTGCTAAATTTAGTAGCGTTTATAGTAAAAAATACTACTAAATTTAGTAGCATTTATAGTAGAAAGTGCCGTTATATTTTAGAATTTAACAGCGTTTTTAGGCACAAACGCAGCTAAATTAAGAAATTTATTTTTAAAAAATTTTCTTTAATATTGATTATTTAAATACAAAATATTAAAAGAAATAAAAGCAAATTTAAATTCATAAACTGAATATTATAAATGCATAATTTGTTCCAATATTGATGGAATACAAAGTTTAATACATGCAATAACATTCAAATTATTTTAGTACATTAACCAAAATCTAAAATGTATGGAATTGATGATTACATAGATTTGAAACACTACTGTTTGATGAAAGATTTTTTTCATCTTGGTTACTAGCATGCTTAAGAACTTACTAACTTAATCTTGACTTTTGTATCTAATTCTTATCTATTTAATAGTTGTTACATTATCATACCAAAATTATATAATTAAATTATATGAAAACGAACTATAACATACTAATTATACTAAGTATTAAAACAAAAATAATAACAAGACGGTATCAAAGATAACCTATTACAATGTAAAAAAAAAAAATTGATTACGTATCACGCATTGACATCATATTTTTTAAACAATGCAAAAAAGGAACAGAAATAACATCAACAAAAAATTTATTCAAATTTTAATCGAATATTCATACATCTAGAAACCTACAGTGCAACAGAGGAAGATTAAGTATGTCATAAATACTTTACCTTGCAGTATTCACAAATGATTATATATGTCTTTTTTTGGTTCTCTATCTTTTGTTGTTGATGGTTTTCATGCATAATGAATCCTTTCAAGCCAGATTAAATCGTTTCATCAACCACCATAATCTAAGAAAAAAATAAAATAAATGCCAAGATGAGATGAAAAAAAAACATAATAGACTATTTTAAAATGGTTTTCTAAAGATATCTTGAATGAATCAACAAATTCATGTTAACAAGTAACAATTTTTTAGTAATTTCAAAAATATTATGTTGAAAAAAAAAACTAAACCTAAAATTTCATTTGTATTTATTACTAAATTCAACGTTTAATTTCAAGTTTTTTAGAGAAAAACCATATTTCTTTCACTTTCTGTTCTATCTTGAATTTTTCTCACCAGCCAAACAAAATCAAACTCATACTATAATAACGAAATAAATTGGTAAAAAAAGAAAAAGAACGATCAAGCACAGAAAATTACCAATGTTGAAATGGAGCTTACCAATGGAGCTTGAATGGTGACAAAAACGCAACAAATCAGGCAAACAATTTAGGGATTTGACATAACAAATCATGTGAGAAGTTTAGGAATTTGACCTAAAATACAATAAAACTAACTTGAAATTTGCAAAAATGAAAGGAAAGAAGATGGAAATTCACCACAAAATGACTTAAACTTAGGTAGAAAATGAGAAAAAAATGACCCAAAATGAGTAAAAGTAAAAGAAATGAGTAAAGGAAAGAAAAACATAAAGGGGGTCGCACGAGTTTGAAATTTAAGAAAAATTTAACAACAGAAAAGTATGATTATTGAAGGTATTTTTAGCAAAAAAAATACCTTCAATAATCCTCTCTAATTTTTTTGTGATTATTTAAGGCATTTTTGACAAAAAACACTTCGAATAATCCCCTCAAATTTTAATTAAAGAGGATTATTCGATGTGTTTCTAACAAAAAAAAAGCTTTCAATAATCTCCCACATTTTTTTGGAGATTATTCAAGGTGTTTTTTTGTCAAAAAAACATCTTGAATAATCACTTACAATAAAATTGAATGGGGTTATTCAAGATACTTTTGGTCAAAAACGCTTTCAATAATCCCTTTCAATTTTTTTTAGAATTATTCAAAGCGTTTTTGATAAAAAAATACCTTGAATAATCCCTTTTTATTTTTTTTTAGATTATTCAATACGTTTTTTACCAAAAAACACTTTAAATAATCCCTTACAAAAAATTGAATAAGGTTATTCAAGGCATTTATAGTAAAAAACACCTTGAATAATCCCTTATAAAAAATTGAATGAGGCTCTTTAAGGCATTTTTAACCAAAAACACATTTAATTTTTATTAGAAAATTATTAAAGGTGTTTTTGGCCAAAAACGTCTTCAATAACCCATTCAATTCATTGTAAGGGATTATTGAAGATATTTTTATGCCAAACACATATATAAACCAAATTTTTTACCAACAGAAACCTACAATTGATTTGTATTCATTTTCAGACATGCTTTTCAAAATGCTTTTAAAAAATCAAAGTATATAGAGGCGTTTAGATCAACAAGCGTCACAAAAATATATTTTGAATGACGTTTTTAAATTTAAACACCATTATATAAAAATTTAGTAGCGTTTTATAAAGAAACGCCACTAACCTTATAGAAATACAGAACTTTGTGGTGTTTATTTAAAAACACCACTAAAAAGTAATCACTAAATCTCTATTTTCATGTAGTGTTCTTATCGAAAAATTTGAAGTAAAGTAGAACTTCATTGCCAAAAACCTTTAAGACTTTTCATAAATTCATTTCTAGAAGTTTTGAATCCAAAACGTTTCAACATGAAATTTTACGAAATTAAACACAAAATCAAATGAAAAAAATAAACAGAACAAATGATTTACATTTGATTTTATAATTTTTTTACTTCAAATGGGTGAAATTTTTAAGGTCTTTTTTACCTTTAAGAACTTCAAATTGTTTATTCTTTCTACTTTTTTATTTGATTTCGTATTTAATTTCATAAGGTTTCATGTAAAAATGTTTTAGTGCATTTCAGAACTTCCAAAAATGAATTTTTGAAAAGTCTTAAAAGTTTTCAAAAATAAATTTCATGAAGGTTTTAAGAACTCTAAATATTTTTAAAAGCTTTTAGAAATTCATTTTCAAAAATCTCTAAAATTTTTTTGAAAATTTATTTGCAAGAAAAAAAAGGTAACTAATAATTTTACTTAAAAAAAAAAAAAATTGAGGTGCGTTGACAATAATATAGGGTGCAAATAGTCTCTCTCGTCTATGAAATTTGAGTAGATTAAACACTTAAAGGTTCTGGATTTTTCCAAACCAATGATAGAAAAGAAAAGAAAATGAAGAGAAAGATGAAGGGAAGAATAGAGAAAGGAAAAGGGAACCATTGAAGAGGGGGGAAAGGGAGAAAGGCTGTCAATGGACCGACCTTTCCACCGTTACCGTTTGTAGATCTTTCTTGAGTCTTAATCTCTTCCTCCTCATCCTTCCTTAACTTTTTTTTTTTTTGTGGTTTTTTATTTTCCTATTTTGAAGTTTTTTTGTTTTTCAATTTTGCCTTCAATTTTTCAATTTTAAGGTATTTTTGCGTGTTATGTGATTTGCTTGATCAAAGGTTTTTTTTTTTTTAGGTTTTTGGTTATTCCTCTAATATTAGAGTTTTCGTTATTGAGCCGTTCAATTTACAATTGAAATTACTCTTACTTTTTTTCATTAAAAAATTAGGGTTTTTCTTTGGGCAGTGAATGGATATATATAATATAGAGAGAGATAGTAAGTTCTCAGAGATTGAGTGGTTCACCGTCGTATGTAGTCATGTCAATGACGCTTGACAATGTAACAAAGCCAATATTGATGGTATCGTGATTTGAAAAAGGTATAGATATAGAAATATTAGATTGTTTTTGTTCGTATTACTGATTTATTTATTTTTTAAAATTGTTGACTGATTTTGGCAGAAGTTGGGCTCTATGACAGGAAAAAAAAAAAAAGCTACAAAAAAAGAAGTTATCTGACGAATTCAAGAGGTAATTGTATGTGTTTTTTTTTTTTTTGAAAAATTCATGTTTTTATGAAATTTTCAAACCTGTATGTATGTATGATTTGATACTCTATTCTATGAAAGTTTCACTAAGGTTTTAGCATATTATTCTATGATTTGTTTTCTAACCATTCTTTACCGGAATTTAGAATTCCAAAAGTACGTATGTTCAGTTGGGAAATTTGTGTAAACTGGCAATTTTTTTTATGAGAATGGATATTGTATATTAAGAATCTGTTTAAAGCCATGTTTTATGCCACATTCCCTTATTCCTTTGAGAATTGTAAAAATAAACTGCATTAATTAGTGATTTTAAGGACAGTTCATGATTATATAAAAAAATTTGTAAGACATGAAACTGAAAGTATGCTATTAGCAATATTGTGAACTTGTGGTTCCGTTCATAGTGGAAGAACACTAAACTGGTAAATTCTATTTACATTAGTTAATCTTTTATATTGAGATGTAAATATCAAATTTATTCATTGAAAAGCTCAAAATATTAAATGAGGTCTTGCTTAAAAAAGGTGAAGTAATTGTGGAACATAGGTACGACTTCAATCATCACATGATCACCATGTTACCTTAATTGAGTTTTAACCATTGATGATCAATGAATCTTTCTTTGGTATCAATGTATAAGCTGTTCAATCTTCCATTCTAGGTAAGCAAGCCACGAAAGCAATGCCCTCCTGTCTTTCTTTCTTAGAAAATAGGTAACTTTTTTCCTCTTTTCAGATCTTGCTGCTAGTATTTCAAATAGCTTTAATCTTTGCACTATCTTCCAAAATTATCCTTCAAATTATATCTAATACCAAAGTTAATTTGGTTTTAAATTGGAAGGTAGGGAAGATTTTAGATTAAACACTTTTAGTTATACGTCAATACTAGATTCGCATACCATAAACTTTTTTTATTTGGCTCCTCCCTGTGGCTGTGTTAGCAGCTGGGAGAGAGAAAGAGGGATAGACAATATCCATATATCATGTTTTTATTACAGAGAAAATGACTGTGATTATTATAAATGTTGACATCTGTGTGTGATTTTTTTTATTGCAGAGAGAAGACTGTGAAAGGTGCAAAGAGAAAGAAAGGGGAAGATAGGAAAGGAAGAGGAAAGCGGGTACTAGTCATGGGTCATGGTCAGTCCACGACTGCTGGCATCAACAAGGTCAGTCAGATAATTTTTTTAGAATTCCCTTTTTGAATATATATATATATATATATATATATATATATTGTTTTTGAGGTGAGAGGAAAATTGAGGGAGTGAGAAATAATGACAGTAACATTATTTTCTTTAACTTTAAAAGCCAATATTTTAAAATAATTACTTTTGACATCTCATAGGTTGTGGGGGACATGATTTGATACATAAGGATTGTGGTTAGTAAGAATTACCATTAAGCTCTCTTTTTAACCATCTCTATTTTTGGTAGGATTGTGGTTAGGCTGTGATGAATGATAATCTTAAATTTATATACTTGTTTCTTGTTAATCCTGGGTTTTATCTTTTTAATCATCTCTCTTTTTAGTAGGACTGTGGTTTTGATTAATGATAATCTTGAATTTTTAATGTGAAACCTGAATACTGGTGTATAGCAAGGATGGTTAGCAAATAGTTTTTAATTCTTCTTTTAGAGATTTAATGGTTTAAACTTTATGCAGGTTTTTTCTGATTTGAAACTTTCCATTTGTAGAATGGTCCATCGATTGGTTTGTATACTGGTTTTAAGCTTTGACTTTCTTAAGAAAGATGAATGAACCATTTAAATTAAGTTTCAAATTAAAAAAAAAATTTAGACTTAGTTTTTAAGCTTGGGATGATACACTTAAAAGGTAATTAATTTAGCATGAATCCAATTATAAGAAGCTAACAAACTATATCAAGATGTGTGCCAAAGTTGCTAAAAGCAGCTTATCCAAAGTTTGCCATCCCATCATCATTGCTATTTGGCTTCTGCAACAGCAAGAACTCCCACAAATTACCATATATGATAAAAGAAGGTGAAATTCCATACTAAAAAAGGTTACGGACAGTGGAGGAAGACAAGCTACTCATGGATTATGTCAAGCTGCATGGAAAAGGACAATGGAATAAAATAGCCAACGGGACAGGTCATAACATAGTTCATTTCTTCTGGTTTTTTTCCTTGTGTTAATCTTCCTTTTTGAACAAAAGTGAAATGGTTAATCTTGTTTCTTCCTCATACAGGTTTCAAGAGAAGTGGGAAGAGTTCCAAGCTAAGGTGGATGAATTACCTAAGCCCCAATGAAAAGAAAGGCAATTTTTTGAGGAAGAAGAAGACCTTATAATTAGACTTCATAAGCTTCTTGGAAACAGATGGTTTTTGATTGCTAAACGAGTGCCAGGACGAACTGATGATGCCATACCTCACTAATGTATGGAAGCTTACTTTCACTCCTGCTGCTGCCATTGTCAATCATTGACGGGGTCCGATGGCTACGCTGCCAGTTTGCATGTTATTTCTTGCTGATATTATGATGGGTAAGTTTTGGATGCTCTTGATGTCCAGCGTAGCCTGTAGTGCAGTAAAATTCTTCTCAACATAAATGTTTATATTTGGATATGAATACTTTGTTAATTTTATATCTTTTTCACTTTCCTTTCTCTCAAAAATTCACATTTTCACATACAGGAGTAGGACTATATGTAAGTCTTCTCTTTAAATCAAATTAATGCATCCCCTAATTTTGTCTTTAATTGGTAGTGCCTCTTTAATAAATTATAGCGTACAAAGGATGGGGTAATTGTCAATGTCAATACCACCAGTTTTTACAAAGGAAACAGGCCGCACGTGTACTTCATACGACCCCATCTGTATCAGGGACGAAAAGAAAATTCTCTTCTTCACAGCATTGCCTCTAATAGCTTTTGAAATATCAGGTGATAAATTTGATCTTCCAAATGAAAATTTGTTGATCATCTGAGTCTTATGTGGTTTCTTTCTTAAACCAGGCTGTTATCGTATATAATATAAAAAAAGAGAATAAAGCAAAGAACAGAAAAAATCAAGAAGGGAAGTCCTCATCATCCTCAAATAAGTTGAAACCAAAAAAAGCAACTTCATAAGAAGACCGCAAAGAAAGGACTGGGATCTTCAAAAAAAGGAAACGCAAAATGAAATTACTAATTGCTCATCATTTTAGTCAGTTTGTAGAGATTTGAGTTAGATATAATCTCAATTTTGTTTATTTGGAACAAGAGAGTTATATATACCAAATCTATCTTCTATTTCTAAAGACAGATTTAAATTTTACAGTATTGATTCTGCTGCCTCCTCCCTTTCTTTCTTTTCTTAGCCTCATGGTGAATGACTACTAGCAATCTCAAGGCTAAGAAAAATCTACTATGGAATAGAACGACATTTGCACCCCTATCTCCCCCTTTTAATATTTGTTGGAGACTGTTCATTTCTAAAATGTAAAATCCTTCTATTTTACACCAAGAAGTCATTTCTGATTTATAGCCTAATGCATTTAGAGAAAGGCTACTTTTTTGGTCTTGTTTTGCCTCTTAAAGGATCATGCTGAGAAAAGATAAGATGGGGAAGGAAGGAAAATGGTTGTCTTCTCTATAGAAAGCCTTCAACCCAAAGTCCAAGGAAAAGAAAAACCAGGTTTGGAGAAGTCTCATTCAGTTAAAAATTGCCTGTAGTTTGTACCAGGTTTGGAGAAGTCTCATTCAGCTAAAAATTGCCTGTAGTTTGTAGTCCTCGATGAGCATTTACTATTCTTGATTGCTTTTTTTTTTTCTGAAATCAAAAGAACGGTTTTTGGAGAAGCAGGTGCATTTGGGTCCCAGTGTTTCTAATGCAGCCACTTTAGAAACTGCCAAATTGTCCCCTCCTCAGTTGGAAGAGGTGAAATTATTTGAAGCAGAGGCTGAACAGATCAAGCAGACTTACCCTGTGACAGTTGCCACTGCTGCTGATGATGTTGTTACTCTTGCTGCTCCAGCTCAGGCTCCTATAGAGGTCATTCAACGTCAACTTAATATAGGTGCTAGGTTTGCTGGAAAATCTACAAAGGAAGTAGCAGCGATCAAAATTCAAATCGCTTTCCTCTTTTTGCAAAAACTGAAAATTTATCTTCTTGCAAAAAATCTCTTTATAAAACTTGGAAAGCAGTTTGAATTTTTTTTTTTTTTTTTTATTGCTGCCCGTTCAAACCAACTTCAATAAATTGTTTGTTTTACACCTGTTTATGTGCTGGGAAAATGCTCAAACTTTTCTCAACTTTGTTTTTCTTAACTACAAAATGTTTGTGACTTAATTTTTCTGATGCTGCTACTTATAATTTATTTCTGTACTTAATTATTCATAGAGGGAACCTAAATCAAATCAATTATGTATGCTACATTTTGAGAACTATTGTAAATTATTCTTTTTATTTATTATGTCATATAAGTAGCTATTGGAACAGTCTGTCACAATTACAAAAATATTAAAAATACAATGGTTTGGCTGTTGAGAAAAGTAAGATGTCTTCCACTTTTTTATTTTTTAATTTATTTAAAAAATATATTAATGTAACCATTGAATCCAGATAATCATTGGAATCAACTTGCAATTCTACAGATATCACAACCTCAATAGTTGATATGAAGGAGGACTTTAAAGGGCAACCTATCCAAGAAGCAAAGGCAAATCGACTTAATAGCTCTTCATTCTTTCTTTTGGATATGTCATGATTTACACAAAAATATTTTTGCAAGCTAAAATGTATTTATTCTCTCTAAATAAAGTTAAATTTTAAAAGTGATATAAGAACATTCAATATTAAGTTTTTGTTTATTATACAATCATTATTGTTGGTGCTTATTTAACTATAGTGTTATAGTCATTGTAATATTAAGTTTTATCTTTACTCTTAGTTTGAGTATTGATAGATATATTTTTATATTATTTTCGTAGATTGAGATATTTAAGGAGAAAATGAAAACTTTTGATGAATTTTATAGTATGGTCAAGACAATTAGGTTTTCTTACATATTGTAGATGTTCGAGTTATCTTGGTGTTGCTATAGGATGGTAATTTAAAACGAGTTAATAGTATTTGCAATTCCTAAACTTTTATCCAAATTTTATTTTGATTTTTAAACTATAAAAAGTTATAATCGGATTCTTAATTATCTTAAATTGTTCTATTTTGGTCATTCTGTCTATGGAATCATCTAAATTAATGGCAATGTTAGCTAGCATCATGTGATGACGTTAGCTAACATTTCATATGAGAAATGAGGGATCAAAATAAAATTTCTCAAAATGTAAGGACCAAATATGAAATTATCCGAAAATTTTATAAATTTTATACATTTCTTATAAAAATATTAAATTTAAAATTATATTTGCATTTTTTTGTTATAATGTAACTTATTAAAAGTATTTTTGTTTTAAATAAAAAATAAATATCCTAAACTTAAAATTAAGTAAAATTTTCAAATTTCTTTTTAAAATTTTATAACGTTTTAAAAAGAAAAAAAAATTTTTATTAAAAATATTATTTCACTCATAAATCATAATAAAACATATTGTTTTCTATCCAAAAAATTTATTTTTTAAAATATTAAATATCTTTTATATTTTCTTTTTAAATATATTTTACAAAATATGTTTTATAAAAAGAAAAAATAGAAAATGTTTTAAATTATATTTTTTTGGTTTATATGAATATAAAGTTTTTATATTTTTGAATAGATTAATAAATCTATTTTTGGAAATGATATGAAAATTTTTACATAATATTTTAACATGATATAGAGTTCTTCTTTAATTTTTTAGACCGTTATAAAAATTTTTGCTTAATTTTTTAAAATGAAATGTAATTTTAACAAAATTATTTTAAAAATTTCAACTTAGATATAATTTTTTTTAATCTATTTTATATTAAAAATAGTATTTTATTGATAAATCATGTCATAATAAAAATTAAAAAATATTTTAATTTTTAATTTTTTATAAAATATATTTGAAATATATAAAAATCAAAATTTTCTTGAATTATTTTTATCTTTTCCTTTATTTATTTTTTATAAAATATATTTGAAAAAGAAAATTAAAAGATATTTAATATTTTAAAAAATATATTTTATGGATATAAAATAATATTTTTATTATGAAGCAACATAAAATATAAAAATATAATTTTAAATTTAATATTTTATAAAAATATATGAAATTTATAAAAATTTTGAGATAATTTTATTTTTTATCTTTAAATTTTGAGAGAATTCTATGTTGATCCTTAATCTACCTTGTGAGATGTTAACTGACGTAGTAAAGTAGTGTCAACTGGTATTTACTATCAATTTATATGGCTCCATTGATAAAAAGACCAAAATAAGAAAATTTTTTATAATTAGGGATTAGATTAAGATTTTTTAAAATTTAGGAACTAAATTAAAAATTGTGTTAAAATTTAAATACTACAAATGCTATTAACTCATTAAAAGAAATTTTTTTTTTCAATATTCAATTTTGTTAAGTGATTTTTTTGTTTTTATTTCCCCAAATATGTTGATGCATGTTGATATCATTGTAAAAAATGAACTATGTCTTAATTAATTAAAGATAAATATGATTTAATTTTTTAAAGATGTTATAGTTAATCAACTCAAAGGTATTTGATTAAGATACGATTTGCAGAATATTTTTTTGTTTTTTTAAACCCGTTAGGAAGACACTAGATTATTAACTTTGCAATTTAAATTGATCCTTGTCTCATATATGCTGTATTTTACAAATTGTTTGTAATACTCAATCCAATCTAATTATTACTGGATTAAAATAAAAATAAAATAAAATATTTTTAGAAATTTATTTTATGAAATCAACTTTTTTTGGTTCGCTCTTGACTATTGAATTCACTTTAGACAAAAGAGTTATGAAACTTAAAGAAATTAGATAAGGGGAAATTAATTTTATTTTGATTATTTATTTTTTAATTAAATAAAAATTTTATATATTTTAAAATTTTAGTTATACTAAATAAAAAAAATCGTAACAAAGCACGTCGTCACACTAGTTTATTAGTAAACTGGAAATCTTAAGCCATTGTTTTTCGCAGTAACTTTTTACTAAATCGAACTTTTTTTCAATGGCAACAGATAATCCCTATTTTTTAAACTGTTTTAATAGTTTTCATGCAAAATAAGGACTTAATCAAACAAAAACAATGCTCTAAAAACTCAATTAGATACAATAAAATGATAAAAAAATTATGAAAAAATATAGGGTGTTTTAATATTTTAGTATTTTTTTTTGTTTTAGTAATTACTTTTACTTTCTTTTTTATCATGCTGTATTTAAATTACGAAAAGATTTTTATTGGATTTTAAAACGTGATAATAGCCTATGATTTTGCGATTTTACATGCTACTACGTAAAT